TGCAGAATTCCAGGGACCACAGGACGGCGCCGGGGCTGGCGTACCGATGCAACCAAAACCGCCTACGTTTTCCATATCCGAATATCGCTCGTCGGAAGAGACTTCGGTTGCAGACTATTTCAAGCGTTTTGAGTGGGCATTAAGGTTGAGTAAAATTTCCGAAGCACAATATGCGAATTATGCTCGAGTGCACATGGGTGCGGAACTAAATAACGCCCTGAAGTTCTTGGTGAGCCCTCGTGACCCTGAAGATCTTCAATTCACGGAGATACGTACAATCTTAGTAGATCATTTTGATCAAACTAAAAACAAATACGTTGAGAGCATTAAATTCAGACAAATAGTACAGCAAAAAGGCGAATCTGTCGCAAATTTTTCACTTTGTTTAAAACAAGGCGCTGCTCATTGTGAATACGATACATTCCTGGACAGAATGTTGATTGAGCAACTTCTCCACGGACTAGAATCACGGGATATGTGCGATGAGATCATCGCCAAGAAACCGACAACATTCAATGCTGCATACGAGATCGCGCATTCACTCGAGGCAACCCGAAACACAGCAAATGAGGTTAGAACGTCCGAACCAGTGACAGCTCCTGAGACTACAAACAAGTTAGGTTATGAAACGCCGAAAACGAGGAAAGGCGGACAGCTTCGACATCAAGCTTCACCACAAGGTAGCGGACAACAGCTTCAAGGTTCGTGTAACGGAGGTCAACATCTACGAAGTTTATGTCGATTCCGTGAAGCAAAATGCTACAAGTGTGACAAAACCGGTCACATAGCTAAAGTATGCAGAACAAAGAAATCTACGCCGCAGGACTTCCCCACTAATCAGGTTCAATCAGAAGTGCATCCAGCTGCTCAAATTGATTCAGTACAACAATTGAGCCAAATTCATGAAGTTGCTTCGCCAGGTAAGCAAATTATCAATGTCAAGATCGATGGCCGTAACCTTGAAATGGAGCTAGACACCGGAGCACCGTGCGGTATAATTGGAGTGTCAAAACTACGTGAGATTAAACCTCACTTTTCTTTACAGAAAACTAACAGACAATTTTCGAGTTACACAGGACATCATATTGACTGCATTGGTCGTATTCCAGTGAACGCAACCATCGGATCTACTACACGAAGACTCAACCTCTACGTCGTGTCAGGGGACACAGACACCCTCTTAGGACGGGAATGGATTTCGCATTTTACCCACGAAATAAATTTAAATCGCCTCTTCTCTACTGATCGGATAAATTCGCTTACTTCTGAATCACAGATAACTCCAGAACAGAACGCACGTCTCAATCAATTACTGGCAAGCTTCGCAGACATTTTCAGCGATGTTCCTGGTAAGCTGACTGATCCGCCGGCTACGGTGCATTTAAAACCCGGCACATCTCCAATCTTTGCCAAAGCTCGTGATGTTCCATTGGCGCTACGGGACCAATACGCTAAAGAAATTGATGCAAAGATTGCATCGGGAGTCTACGAAAAGGTTGAGTATTCAGAATGGGCTTCACCTACCCATATCGTCGTGAAAAAGAATGGAAAATTACGTATCACTGGGAATTACAAACCGACAGTTAACCCTGCAACCGCACGCGCCGAGTCGATCAACCGTTACCGACACGGTGATCATAACCGCCATCCCGAGCCAGACGTGGTAGCAGCCGGATGAGGACGAGCCGGACTTCGCCAGCCCATCCAGCGGAGAAGGCGATACGGCCGACGAAAGGGGGACATCCCCAGATTAATTTTAGGAAAGAATAAGACGTTCCGAGGACGGAGTTGTAAATAGTCATTTCATTTTAGAATAAAGTTATTCAGCCTATCCGTCCGGCGTTAAGATATGCGACAGCGGTCGCTGGGCAGCGGCCCATTTAGCATATAAGCGTTTATTTTCAGCGATCCACAAATATTTCATTTTCTTTTCTCGGCACCAAGTGCCAGGCCCGACCAGGAAGCAGTTTTCTTTTGATTTACTAGGTGCGTGGATCAGCAATAGCACCCGGCACGATGATTGGTCGAGCCACACACAATCTTCGACGCGGGAGCGCGGGATTCTGACAGCGCGCACGCCAGGCGAACGAGAGTCGAGATGCCGACTCCTGACATCCTCACAAGAGGATCATCCAAAAATTAGCGCGATCCGATTGCGCAAACATGGGGTTTGCCGGACACCCGGCGAAACACACGAAGGGGGCGCCGTAGCGCCAAACGGCTTAAACTGCCGCCAGAGAAAGGCTTCACCGACCTCTGGGGACTACCGCGAACACGATCCGATCGCGCGAACCCCAAGTTTGCCGGACACGTCACCAAATGACGAACGCGGCGACGCAGCGCCAAAAGGCTTGAACTGCCGCCAGAGGGAGGCTTCTCCGACCTCTGGAGACTATCGCGAACGCGATCCGCCCACGCAAACACCTGGTTTGCCGGACAAGGGGCTACAGGGCAAGCGAAGCGTCGTAGCGTCGCGGCATGAAATATGCATGTTCGGGGGTACGAACAGACCCTAGAGTCCGAACGCGAACGCGATCTGACTGTGCAAACACCCGGTTTGCCGGACAGACTTAATATCGTGAACCGAGCGTCGGAGCGAACTGAGAGTCGATATGCTCACTCGGGGAACGTCGATAAGACATACGAGTCCAACGCGAGCGAGATCTGACCGCGCAAACATCCGGTTTGCCGGACAGACCCGATATGTTGAACCGAGCGTCGGACCGGCGTGAAATTAAATATGCGTACTCGGGGAAGGTCGAGAAAACATCCCAATCAATCGCGATTGCGATCTGACCGCGCAAACACTCGGTTTGCCGGACAGATGACAAAAACTAGGATTGCGTCACCAGGGACACCTGGTACACCCGAATATCGAAGCGCGATCAAAATCCGACCATCCCAACTGGGGGTTGTCCGGACAGTCCAGACAACTAGTAGTTTCCGACGTCGGCTACAGGAAGTAGGACCGGAATACGATCGATCAAAACCTAAAGAGTAGGCATCTGGGTCGCCGCCATGAGCGGACGTTTTAAACGCGATCTAGACGGCTTCTCCAGGAAGTCAACGCGGAATCGAGATTAGGGACATCGAATAGACCTTGCGCATAGGTCGGCGCCGTTCAAAGGTCAATATTGTAAAAGCTGAATTGTTGCTACCCGGAAATCGAAAGAGCGAGACGCAAATAGTGTACTAGCGTTGGAAATTTTCATCGCAAACATCTGGCGCACACCTGGTGTGTCGAAACGCGTAAACACCTTTTGTTAAGACGTAGCATGGAAATTTCCAGAGCGGTGAAAACGGCCGAGACCCATATGGAAGGGGAAAAACTCGGTGGTAGGGAGCCCGAGAGAGCAACGTTTCTCGAGGCAGTCTCCCGTGGGCGCTCGAAAGTAGCAACCTCGCGCGTATTATACCGGCGTATCGTTGAAGAATATTCGCGAACGCGAAACGGAATACGATAATTAAGACTACCTCAGTGTCTAATAACAAACGGGAACGCCCGCCAACAGCGTTACGTGACGTCGATACGAAAGACGTACGGGTTTTCGCGTACCTGAATTGCGAAATCGCACTCAGCGAGGCGTGCGACCGCCATCTTGTGTGGCAATCGTTAATTGTGAATCACCAACATTGTGCAACTAAAGTTAACAATAAAAGCAATCGTTATTTGCAAAAATCCAAACGAAAATATCATTACTTACCCGGAAACTTACCTGAACAAGCGGCTGTCCGGCCATCTTGGTGATAGCGTGGTCCGATCTTCAAGGTCATCACAGATTCTACTTCAGAGGAGGCCATTGATGAGGAAACCGTGGCGGAAACCTGAAAAAAGTTGATATTAGTTGTGGTTACGCGGACAGTTCTCGGTTGTCCGGCTATCTCCCAGACGCGTTGATCCTAGACATCGGTGAGCAGCGATGATCTACGACATCGGCGATGGTGATGAAGCAGCTGTCGACGAAACCTGAAAATAAAAGAGAATTAGTGGCGTTTTACTTATATTAATGTCGGGACTTAGCCGATCAAGCGGTTGTCCGGCTATCATGGTTCCACGGATGAGGTAGATGAATGATCGATAGTGGAAACGATTGGCAGAGCATCCCAGAGGAGGCAACCGTGGCGGGAGTCTGAAAAGTCAAAGGGTTAAGGAGATATTACCTGATCAAGCAGCTGTCCGGCTAACAGGTATCCCTGGCTGGCCGATTGAGGTCATACCTAGCGGTATCCAGAGCTCAGGCGATGCTTATCGAGCAGTTGTGGCGGGATTGAAAAATAAAATTGTTTAAACAAATTGTTCAAATTTTGGCTGATTTTCATTACGAATACCTACCTTCTCGGTATATAAAGGTTAAACCGAGTGGCGACCGATGACTAATAGGACAAAATAGCGTACCCCGTGGCCCGATTATGCATCGTTCGGTCACAAACCCGAGAATGATTGTCGACGAACATCCGATACCAAAGATTGAACATATTTTTAATAAGATGAAAGGAGCTACGTTTTTTTGCCACCTCGATGTTACGGATGCACACACGCATCTCCCTATTGATGAAGAGTTTCGTCATGTTCTTACACTAAATACTCCAACGCACGGACTGATTCGACCAAAGAGAGCGGCTTACGGAGCAGCTAACATTCCGGCAATCTGGCAGCGACGCATGGAAACCATTCTGGAGGGCCTCCCGGGTGTCACCAATTTTTTCGACGATATCATAATTCCCGCTGATGGATTCGATAACTTATTATCAGTACTCTCGGCTACGCTGGAACGATTGAGAACTCATGGCATACGACTTAATCGAGCAAAGTGCGTCTTTGCTACTCCGACCCTGGAATGCTTGGGACACAAGATAGATCGTCATGGTTTTCACAAGTCGGACAAACACATCGCAGCCATTCGTGATGCACCTCAGCCTACAACTCCGGAACAATTGCAGTTGTTTCTGGGGAAAGCGACGTACTACAGTGCGTATATCTCCAACCTCTCCGATAGAACTCGACCATTGCGAGACATGCTACTTACTGATCCTTTTAAATGGACACTGGATGCAGAGAAGGCATATCAAGACATCAAAGAGGCCCTAATTTCACCCCAAGTATTAATGCAGTATGATCCATCTCTTCCGTTGATCCTGGCCACGGATGCGAGCAAAACAGGTTTAGGAGCAGTCCTCTCACCGACTTGAAAACGGACAGGAACGTCCGATTGCATACGCCAGCTGTACCATGTCCGCCACTGAGCAACGATATCCACAAATCGACAAAGAAGCTCTCGCCATTGTTTAGACAGTAAAAAAATTTTTCCATTACCTATATGCTCGTAAATTCATTCTCATTACAGACCACAAGCCACTGACACAGATTTTGCACCCCGAGAAGTCCCTTCCAACACTTTGTATCAGCCGAATGGCGAACTACGCAGATTACCTAGCACACTTCAACTTCGACGTCGTCTTTAAACCTACAGACCAGAACACAAATGCCGACTACTGTTCCCGGATACCACATCCATCAACACGAAACGAAGTCAACAAACTGTCTCTTCACGGGGGAAGAAATGTTAGTGAAGAAGATGGAATCGATCGATTTGCCCTACACCAAATTCAACAGTTGCCAGTTCGTGCTGAACACATAGCGCGCGAGACACGCAAGAACCCTCATCTTGGCAAAATAGTACAGGAGTTGGAAGCAGGTCGCAATCTCGCACGTATTGGCTACAAGGCCCCGGAAGCGTGTTACACACTCGCCGCCAACTGCTTACTCTTTGAGCATAGAGTAGTTATACCTTCAACGCTGAGACAGCCAATCCTGGATGACCTACACACAGCCCACATCGGTATTGTAAAAATGAAGGGTTTAGCGCGATCCTTCATCTACTGGCCAGGTATAGACTCGGACATCGAACGGTCTGCTAAATCATGTGTGGAATGCGCACGCCATGCACATGCTCCGCCGAAGTTCAGCGACCACCACTGGGAGTATCCGAAGGGGCCGTGGGGACGAGTTCACATCGATTACGCAGGGCCAGTGGCAGGTGCAATGCTGCTAGTCATCGTCGATGCTTACAGTAAGTGGCTTGAAGTTAAAGTCACCAATTCGTCTACAACAGAGGCCACAATTAAAATTCTGGATGAATTATTCGCTGCATACGGTGTGCCAACAACCATCGTCTCGGACAACGGCACTCAGTTCACTGCTGCCGAGTTTAAGACCTTCCTACAAAGAAGCGGAGTGACATTCCACAAGTTTTCAGCACCATACCATCCAGCTACAAATGGCCAGGCAGAACGATACGTCCAAACGGTGAAAGACACCCTGAAAGCGATGTCCACAACGAGAAATTCACTACAAACAAATTTGAATGAATTGTTGCGTCAGTATCGAAAAGC